TTCAGAATCTACTGTTTTTCTTTCTCCACAAATCAGCTGTGCTCAGCGCATGACCATCTCCACCGCGAGATGGCGACGTCTTCCCACACATTGAGCCAGCCCCAGGGTTTTGAGCATAGAATCATAGAATATCCTGAGTTGGAAGGGACCCTTAAGGATCATCAAGTCCAACTCTTGACACCGCACAGGTCTACCCAAAAGTTCAGACCATGTGACTAAGTGCACAGTCCAATCTCTTCTTAAATTCAGACAGGCTCGGTGCAGTGACCACTTCCCTGGGGAGCCTGTTCCAGTGTGCAACCACCCTCGCCGTGAAGAACCCCCTCCTGATGTCCAGCCTAAACTTCCCCTGCCTCAGCTTAACCCCGTTCCCGCGGGTCCTGTCACTGGTGTTAATGGAGAAAAGGTCTCCTGCCTCTCGACACCCCCTTACGAGGAAGTTGTAGACTGCAATGAGGTCTCCCCTCAGCCTCCTCTTCTCCAGGCTGAACAGGCCCAGTGCCCTCAGCCGTTCCTTGTACGTCTTCCCCTCCAGGCCTTTCACCATCTTCGTAGCCCTCCTCTGGACACTCTCCAACAGTTTCGTGTCCTTTTTATACTGTGGTGCCCAGAACTGCACACAGTACTCGAGGTGAGGCCGCACCAGCGCAGAGTATAGCGGGACAATCACCTCCCTCGACCTACTAGCGATGCCGTGCTTGATGCACCCCAGGACACGGTTGGCCCTCCTGGCTGCCAGGGCACACTGCTGGCTCATATTCAGCTTGCTGTCTACCACGACCCCCAGATCCCTCTCTTCTAGGCTGCTCTCCAGCGTCTCATCGCCCAGTCTGTACGTGCAGCCAGGGTTTCCCCGTCCCAGGTGCAGGACCCGGCACTTGCTCTTATTGAACTTCATGCGGTTGGTGATCGCCCAGCTCTCCAACCTATCCAGATCCCTCTGCAAGGCCTTTCCACCCTCAACAGAGTCCACAACTCCTCCAAGTTTGGTGTCATCAGCAAACTTGCTCAAAATACCTTCTATTCCTATATCCAGATCATTTATAAAAATATTGAAAAGTATCGGCCCTAAAATGGAGCCTTGAGGGACCCCACTAGCGACCGCCCGCCAGCCTGACGCAGCCCCATTCACCATAACCCTTTGGGCCCTGCCCGTTAGCCAATTGCTCACCCATCGTATGATGTTTTTATTTAGCTGTATGGTGGACATTTTGTCCAGTAGGATCCTATGGGAAACCGTGTTAAAAACCTTGCTGAAGTCCAAAAAAATCACATCAGCTGGTTTCCCTTGGTCCACCATACGGGTGATCTTATCATAAAAGGAAATCAGGTTAGTTAGGCAGGACCTACCCTTCACAAACCCATGCTGGCTGGGACCAATGACTGCTTTGTCCCCCAGGTACGCCTCAATAAGTTCAAGAACCATCTTCTCCATGATTTTACCAGGCACTGACGTGAGACTGACAGGCCTGTAATTGCTAGGGTCTTCTTTCTGACCCTTCTTGAAAATCGGCACAACATTTGCCAGCTTCCAGTCTACCGGGACCTCTCCAGATTCCCAGGATCGTTGAAAAATAATTGAGAGAGGTTCCGCGATGACGTCCACCAGCTCTTTCAGCACCCGGGGATGAATCCCATCCGGACCCATGGACTTGTAGGGATCCAGGCGGAGTAGCAAATCCCGCACACGTTCAGGGTCGGTTGGGAGTTTGTCATCCCCACCGTCCCGGTCCTCCAGCTCAGGGCACCCTGGGTCCCGAAGCCCATCATCGGCATTGAAGACAGAGGCAAAGAAGGCGTTAAGCGTCTCTGCTTTGCCTATGTCATCGTCTGTGAGGAGACCTTCCCTATCAAGGAGCGGCCCTATGTATTCTTTAGTTCTCCTTTTTCCATTCACATATCTAAAAAAACCCTTTTTATTTTCTCTCACAGACACAGCCAGCTTCAACTCTAGGTGTGCTTTAGCCACACCAATTTTCTCCCTACAAACACGAACAGCATCCCTGTATTCTTTCCAGGACACCTGGCCCTCCTTCCAGTAGCGAAACACTCTCTGTTTCTGCCTAATCTCCATCAGAATGTTCCTGGTCAGCCACGCCGGCCTCCTGCCCCGCCTGCCTGACTTGCGATATTTAGGAATTGCCTGATCTTGTGCTTCTAGGAGGCATCGCTTAAAGAATGACCAGCACTGGTGGACATCGAGGCCTTCAAGAGCAGCTTCCCAGGGGACCTTGCTGACTAGTTCCCTGAGCAGCCTGAAGTCCGCTTTCCCCATATCTAGGGATGAGGTTTTGGTGGCACTTTTCCTTCTGTCACCGTAAATTTTGAACTCAACCACTTCATGGTCGCTATGACCGAGGCGGCCACCAATCACCACATCTCCCACCAGACCCTCTCTGTTTTCTAGCAACAGGTCTAGGAGGGCACCTTTCCTAGTTGGCTCCGTCAGCGGCGACAGGGCAGGGGGTCCACCCCCATTTGGGGTGTCTCACCCCGGTACCTCTCCTTGAGGCCCTGCAGGGAGTTACTCCACCAGTCTATCTCCCGCTCACACTCCCTGATGGCCCTCAGCCTCTCCACCTCCTCCTTGAGCTCCGCCACCATGCGGATCAGGTCATCCACCTGCTGGCACCTGACGCACGCAGCGTCTCTGCCTCCCGCCGATGGCAGCAGCAGGCTCTGACACTCCCTGCATCCGGTGACCTGAACCGCTGCATTCTTTAACGGGCAGTCGGTCTGGGTGTGTACCGACCTCCTGCAGAGCGCTCCGTGCCTTGTGGAGACCATTATCACCTAGCTAACGGCTGTCGTTAAGAGGTGTTCGTGTGGGCAGGGGGTTGCTCTCCGCCCTGCCACTCCCCTCTGACGGGCCACGCCCTGTTTGCCCGCCCTGGTCGCCGCGCTCCCTAGGGGCTGCTTTTGAACGGCCGGGGAGGGGTCGCTGCTGGCTCCGCCTTCGCCTCGTCAGCCTCCCTCACGAGGGCTGCCGGCTCCTGGCGGCTCCCTGAAGTCGGCTCGATGCCGGAAAATGAGCCCTGCCTGGCCCGATCCCCCGCTCCGCTGCAGAACGCGTCTGCCCCGGAGCCGATCGCCTCGGCAAATGGCCAAGAACTCATAAGAACTTCTTAGCCACACGTGCAGTTGTTTGGACTGAGAAGCCCAAGATATGCCCCAGTGATACCTCCAAGTCGAAGGAAAACAGCCATTCAGTTCGCCATCTGGGCATGTCCCTAATTAAACTTCTATGTGGGGATGATTCAGACACTCAAAAATAGTAACCACAAAGTCCACACACTCTTTGAACGACAGAGCAAATATTTAATGAACCGAGAGTGTTACATGTCTGTTAACAGCACAGCTTCTCTTTTTTTTTTTTAACCAACCTGTTCCTTAGTCAAGGCTTTGATCATCTCAGCTGTGATGTGCCTGTTGGATTTAGCCGTAGAGCCACCTTCCGTGGGGCTCCTGCCTGGCATTTCTTCTGGCTCCTTGTGAATAGGCATGGCTCTTCCAATCACACCCATTAGCTTTGACTCCAGAGGACCCAGTTTTAAGTATTCCTTAAGAAGAAAAAATATCTTTCTGCAGTTGCAGAGAAAAGAGGCAGCTCTTCGACAACAAACTAAACAAAACAAACAGCATCTTTCCTCTTAAAAGCAACTCCACGAGTGTTGTCCTGGGGTTGCCGTGTTCAGTAATTTCAGTGTCAGTGGGTTAATCTACAGGCCAGCTGATCCTAGGAGGATGCAGCCCTGCTGCTCTCTTTTTCTGCGTGTTTTCACCAATAATGTTTTCTCTGCAGCCCAAATTCTGCTCCCAAGTTTAGTTCCGTGAGAAGGATTAAACGAATCCAACAGTTCAGTACTGCCAAAAGAGAGAGATCCAAGTCCAGCTTGGTGCTTGCACCATGTTTGTGCTGGCTCTGGCCTTCTCTAGGCCTCTGACTCAGTTCAGGTGAGTCAAACTAATTCAAGGGGAAGAAACAAAACAAACAAAGGCAGGCTTTGCTGCTGGGACAGTGAGAGAACCAGCTACAGAAGAGGCAGATGCGCACTACAGTTCCCTAGAGGCAGCAGCAGGATTGTACAGCTAAGGCTAGGGAGAAGAAGGAACCCTACAGCACAAGGTCTTGAATCAAGTTTAGTAAATGCTTTCCTGCTAGTTGCAACACCACTGTTTGCAGTTACACTACACCTTAATTTTTGTGAAATACAGGAATGCCAGTAGCACCTGTGTCTCTCAGTAGGGTGGGCTCTACAGTGCTAACAGCAGGAGAGAAGAAGCAAAGCTAGTGTTCCTCTCCTGAGGCAACAGCTGCAAGGAAGCAAGCACCTGGACAGATTTTGTCTGTGTCGTGGTTCCGCTCGAGTGGGCAGCCGAGCTCCACCACAGCCGCTCTCTCACTCCCCCTCCTCAAAGAGGAATGGGGAGAAAATATGTGAAAGGGGCTCAAGGATTGAGATAAGGACGAGAAAATCACGCAATAATTAGTGTAACGGGCAAACCAGACTCAGCATAAGAAGATAGATAGTAAGATTTATTGCTCATTACTAACAAGCTAGAGAAGTGAGAAACAAAGGAAAGAAACCAAAAGCGCCTCCCCCCCCGATCGTCGTGAAGAGGTGTTCGTGTGGGCAGGGGTTGCTCTCCGCCCTGCCACTCCCCTCTGCCGCGCCACGCCCTGTTTGCCCGCCCTGTTCGCCGCGCTCCCTAGGGGCTGCTTTTGAACGGCCGGGGAGGGGTCGCTGCTGGCTCCGCCTTCGCCTCGTCAGCCTCCCTCACGAGGGCTGCCGGCTCCTGGCGGCTCCCTGAAGTCGGCTCGATGCCGGAAAATGAGCCCTGCCTGGCCCGATCCCCCGCTCCGCTGCAGAACGCGTCTGCCCCGGAGCCGATCGCCTCGGCAAATGGCGAGGCACTAGCAAATTACGTCTATCATACAAAGATTTATTGGAACAGAGACAGCCAAAATGTTAATGCATGGTGGGAGCTCCAAGGAAAATAACTTCACAATAGCATGCAGATAAGAGAAAAAAATCTGTATTATATGTAAAGCCATTAAATGTTTTTTTAGGCAGGGATGTCAGGATTGCTATTTCTAACCACAACATGCCCTGTAACCTAGTGACATCCTCAGCCTTGATTTAGAGTCGGGGGCCCACCGCTGCAGTTTATCTGGCACCTCACAAAGGAATAGCTTCAGGGCTTATTTAGGAATGGCTTGAAGGTGGAAAGTGAGGGGCCTGGCACCTGGCCCCGCAGTTCAGCAAGTACTTGCCCCAGACACTGCTTCAGGACCATGTTGCTGCGTCTGACTGAGGTCCCATGACATGGCTGCAGTTTTCTCTCATGACATGGCTGCTGCGTCTGACTGAGGTCCCATGACATGGCTGCAGTTTTCTCTCAAATGCTACAGTTTGTAAAACTGTTAACTACTACCTGGACAGGAACAGAAGTCTGACAGTGTAGGGTTTTTTTATTATTTATTTTTTTTTTATTTTTGTTGTTTTGGTTTGTTTTTTATGCTGCTGCAGTGATCTAACAGTATATTCTATGCCAGAAAACTAGGAGAGTAGTTCAATGAAATTCAGTGAACCACAGCACATCTGTGGAACTGGGCTTCGCAAACACTTTGCACGGTGTAAAATATTGCCACTACCTCCTCAGGTCTTCCAGCCCCTTGTCTGATGTTCAGTCCTCAGCGCGGTCTCACAAACAAACACTCTGCCAGAGTTGCAGGCTGGTTTCTTCTTTACTTTCTTTTTCTCTTTGTGAGGATTGGAGATAGTTTCAGTTTTCTGAAACAAAGGATGCTACAGCCATTAAACAGCCATCACTGAAACTTGCTACCTCCCAAGACAGGCTTTAGAAATCCATGGCTTTAATAACCACAGAATACTGTATTTGTGCTGAAGCCGGGGTAGAATATAGTGGCAGGGCATGAGATAGCAGTCACAGCAAGGCAAAATGTGAAGGTCCCTTGGTTACAGCAGTCACAGCAGTTTTTGAAAATCTGCCTCAGTAGAAGTTGCCTCCTGCCTCAGCTATTGACACGTAATCACGTGTCAATCTGATTGATCACCATTAACGGCCAGTGGGGCTTTCCCAGACTGCTACTGGTAGCAAACTACCTACAGCCACTCCTCCACCGCAGGAATGAGGGCACTATGTCGTAGTTATCTCAGATTTTTAAACCTGCCAGGTGAGTAGAATGGGTAACATCCTACAGTGTGCTGTGGAAGCAGAAAGTGACTTTTTTTTTTTTTTTTTTTCAAAAGGAGAAAGCACTTGGCCAGCCAGAGGGTGGCAGCAGCAGGGAAGAGCTCAGCTCTGAGGACATAACAGAAAGCAAACAGCTGTGGGAGCTTCACAGTGTGTATGTGGTGGCAAGGAAAACAGGGACAGGTAACAGAGAGGGGAAACTGTACGCAGGAGGGGTGCAGAAACAGTCCTGCAACGGAGGGCAGGAGGAAGAAACCATGGAATGGGGTAGACAGAGATGGAACAAGCTGTGTAATGCAAGTTCCAAGGGAAAGCTGCAAGAAAACAACAGCAATTCCCTGACTGCTCTGTGGCTCAGAAGCCCTCAAAGCAACAACAACAACAACAACAACAAAAGGTATTTTTGGAAGCTATTCATAATTTCTTAGAAATGTCTCAGTGTCCTTTAAAGCCATTTGACTCAGCAGATGGTAAGCAGGCCATGCTGGAAGGATGGTATCTGCAAAAGCACCATTTGTACTGGCCATCCAGTAGGAGACTTGGTACAGCCAAAGGGTCCCACAGTCCACATTTAACTACTCAAGCGAAGGCTAAACCCACACGTGGCTTAAACAGTAGGAAAACTGAGCTCTAGCTGCCTGTTTCCTGCCCAATGCACTCACTAAGCATTTTTTCCCATCACGCTTGGAAAAGGACCCTTGCCCAGTAGAGATGCTCCAAATACCAGGCTGTCATTCAAACCTGGCTGAAGATATCAGTGCTTATCCAGCAACCCAATTTCTCCTCCAAGAAATAAGTAAATGTTCCATGTGAAGCACAGACCAGCTTCCCCATCCCATATGACTGCCCCAACAGCCTGTACACCTGTTTTCCCTCCCTCCCTCCCTCCGGATCTGTGAATATTGAGTTACAGTGGCCACACAACCATAAGCAGGGAGGGTGACTATGGCACCATCTCAGTAGAGCTGACACTGTGCTGGCTGAAGCAGCCCCTGGGGACGCATCTTCAGGCCCCTCTTTGGCAGAGGAAGGCCCTAAATCCAAGTGCCCCATGTTGTCAGTGACTCCTCAGCTGACTTTTAGACTGGTTATAGCAGGACCAGCAACCAGTTGCATGGCCAAGGCAGTGCAATGGCCAAAACAGCCAGTAAACAAAGGTCCAAGAACAGCATTGAACAGCCAGGCCGTGCACCTTTCACACTGGCTCTATCTTTGGACAACCCAGCAGTGTCACTGCACACCGCTTCCCACCTGCCGTAGCAGCAGGAGCCCAGGTGCCTCACCAAAGGCTGGACTGTATGGCAAAGATCTGAGAAACAGGACATTGACTTATCACATTGTCTTGTGGGAGATTATATGTGGCAGAGGGAGACCTGAAAAGCCAGCTCTCCTGTCCCCAAACTTAGCATGTGAACTTCTGATCTGTCCTCAGATGTGATGAAAAATGTGTCTATACGTTTTCTGTCTTTGCCTGCTAAGTCAACCAATCGTTCATGCCAGTATCTGCTTTGCTGTCAGTGGACTTGGTAATTAAGATGACACGAGACCACTTGCTGAAATCAGTCATTGCACACAGCAGTACAGCACTCTGCCCATTCACTTGCCAGTCTGGAGTAAAAGGAAGGAAAACAAATCTAATGACAAGGAGAAGAGCTATCCTGAAAGAATACAGATGTTTCTCTGCCAGGGCACAAGGAGAAACTGCTATCTTTTCAGAGCAGAGACACTGTCAGGATGCAGCAAAGGCTGCTGCTTCCCTCAGTGTCCCAAGCTGAAAGCTGCTGACACATTTACTCTGGTATTTCCTAGCACCATGCTGTGGAATCTTAGCAAGAATGGATGTGCACAAGCAGTGGGACAAGTCTCTGTCCCACACTCTGGGAAAGGGGCCGTTCAGGTGGCACGCACCAGGGCTGCAGGTGGCTTGCAGGTTTCCTCCAGTCTCTCTCTCAGGTGGCTTATCTCAGCACGGTAGTCATCCAGCTGGCTCTCCAGCTTCTCCCGCCTGACTCGCTCGAATTCCAGCTGAGCCTCCAGCTCCTTCACAGCCCTGCCAAAAGCAAAGGAGACAAACGGAGCATAAAGCACATCCAAGCATGTCCTGGCTACTCCACGTGTTGTTTTTTTTTTTCAGGAGCAGGTTAGTCACAGCAGAAAACTGCAGTTCCAGTGTGCTCCTGGCTTAAGACCCTTTGCAAAAGCTTCAGAATCTACTGTTTTTCTTTCTCCACAAATCAGCTGTGCTCAGCGCATGACCATCTTCACCGCGAGATGGCGACGTCTTCCCACACATTGAGCCAGCCCCAGGGTTTTGAGCAGGCTGCAACCCAGGTCTTTCTCCAGCTTCTGAAGAGGGAGAAATACCCAAGAGGTAGAAGAGTTGGCAGGAAACAGAGAACAGGCATAAAACTGGTTTTCTGGACAGGCCAGGGGCAGTTTCTTCATTTATGGCTGGTTCCTCCACATCCTTCCTAAAGTGATTGGGTTAACCACAGATGAGGAATGATCAAATGACAGCCTGCATGGCACCGACTAAAGGAAAGCGGAAGCACTGGCTGATAAACAGTTGCACAAGTCCTCATCAGTCACCCCCACAGTGGCTACTAAATTAACTGAGATTCCTGGAACTGGTTAGCTGAGACATAATTGAGATATATTCTTATAACAACAATTGACCTCAACAGCTGAGTCATGTGGAGTTGAGCTGGCTCTCATCTGTAGCATGAGTTAGCACAGCTACAAAGACAGAATACTGGTAAAAGGAAAAGGGAGATGTCTGCCATGTGGATTCAAATAGCAGGGCAGGAAAAAAAGCTGACAGAAGAGCTACTGCATTGCCCAGACCAAAACATTCCTGACTCACAGTCCAAAGCGACCGGCCTGTGTCAGCCTTACTGACACTAAAAGAATGACCTGTGCTTTTGCAGGGAACTCAGTGCCTGGGGGAACAAGGTGACTTCTTGCACACTCCGGATTTGTGGGGCACAGCTCCAGCACGGTGTGGCACACATGCGGTGGCATTTGTTTCCATGCTATGCAGCCTGGCCCTGCACAGCAGCTCCCACCAGGCCTCTAACAGCAAAATCTGAAAGAGCAACTTTCCCAAGTGGCAATTCCTGCTTTTCATCTAGTAAAATGATGCTGTTGATAAATATTTTTAAATAATGAGGTTTTCTAGCATATGACACAAGCATCTTGGGGTTTATACACAGGTGTCTGTCAGTATCCTGAGGAGCAGTATTTCGGTTTCAAAAGGCCAGACAGGATCTAGGGATGCTCTCTAGCCTCCACAGATGACATCCCTCAGAGACCCTCACAATTACTGTTTTACTAGTTTAGCCCCACATGCCATGGAAAGCAAAATCCCTTACAAGAGCCCTCTAACAGGCACTGCCAGCTTTTCAGTAGCTGCTGTATCCAAAATGAGCTCTCATTTCTGCTGTTAGCCAACAGTGACTTTTCCAGTGCTGCAAACATGTTGCTCTAGTAACACGTTTGGTTTGCAGTGGCCCAAACGTGGACATGGACATGCTTGTCTACAAGAATTAAGAACAAAATGCAACCAAATGTTTGACAGATAGAATAGGGACAGGATGTTGCTTTCTTGTTTGAGGTCTGAATCTTTAAGAGAAATAGAGGCATTTCTTTAAAACTTAGACAGTCTGCCCATCTAAACATCTAACTCATCTAACAGAAACCTTTTATTTAATGGAGACCCTGAGAATTAGGCAGAAACTATGTAAAGTGCTTCACATGCAAAGGGAGGTTTGCTGAGATTTCTATTTTTGTGGTCTGAAAATGACCTAATGTCTTCATGAGCACAGAAATACACTGCTCTTGACAAAGAAATATAACAGGTCATTAAATAACTCCTCCTGTATATGCACTTCCATGCAAGCCATGCTAAGACTAATGCTTCTATTCAGACTTATTAAAGTGCATACATGTATTCAGCATCCTTGAAAAAAAAAAAAAAAAAAAAAGAGCATAGTCAGGATTTATGTAGAGACTACTGCACATACACTGCAGGAAAACCTGAAGGCAGAACAGGTAGCCCTGCACAAGTAAAAGAAGTACATACACATAATAATTTGTGTTGTACTGTAAGGCTGATCCTGGTCACAGAAGTCCAGAAATGGCCAGGAAAATCACTGAAGTCCTTTTCTTTTTGGCCTGGCTAAAGTTGGTAAGTGGAAAAGACAAAATGGCCAAAGCAATTTGAGTGTAAGGTAGCCTTAAAGAAGGCTTTAAAATGGGCCTTGCTGAGTTAAACATTACCAGAGGAAGTTAACCTTACTTCTCAACATCCCTTTGTTCTTTTTTCATCTTCTTCTCCTCCTCCGTTATTCCTCCCAGTTGTCTGTAGTTGCCGTAGGCAATTTCTAGAAGATGCTGAAGTTCTTGAATCTTGCGATAGGCCCTTACTGTAAGACAGAGACCTCCAGGTAGGTAAAATGCACAGAGAGAACTGAAGACAGTCATGCTGAAATCCAATAGTCTGGAAAAGTCTCACAAAGACAGAAATCACACTGCTCAGCAGATACTGAGATGTATCTGACACCCACACAACAGACAGCTCCCAGAAACAAGGAGCAATCCAATGCAGTTTCACCAACACAGATTAAAACACTGGAACAGATACGTTCTGACTGTCCTGCACTATGCTTCCTAATTTTCCACAATTTGTTTGAATACTCATCAGTACAGATACCCTGTCACCAAACTCATCCTACAACAAAGTCGCATCAGTTAGCAGAAACTGTGCAAGTAGGAACAGAATGTCTCGAGACTACCTTTTTGAATAAGGAGTGATGAAAATGCTTACTGCGTGCGTTCCTTTTCTCTGCTTTGCTCAGGATTAAATCTTCTTTGCTATCCGTACTCCCTTCCACACCATGTCTTTCAAAAAATTTTGCATTGTTTGCATCTAGCTCTTCATCACTGGAGTTACTGTCTCCAGTTCTTCGTGTCAAAAGTTCTACAGCTGCCAGCTGGGCAAATCTGCAGAGAGAACAGTTAACCTACACTGATACATCCCCGTAATCTGTAAAAGCATAGCCATGCTCCCCACATATGATGGAAACTCTCTGAAACTCTTCATGTTCCCATTTACAAGAGGGAGTTTCAGGGTTACAGGAAGCATTGGTACACAAACTACGAGCAGCTGATCTGCTTTCTGCAGTATTCTCCCAGCATGAGCTCTGCCTCACTGAAATCCTATGGCAATGACTCCCACATCAGAGAGATCTTTTCCTGTGTAGGATTTCTTAACTGAATCTCATCAGCAACTGCATTATTTTTATTAATGCAAAAAATCAGACAGCTTTCTCTAGTTCTCATTTACTTCGTGCAGTTGGAGCATACAGGCTTACGACCTTCCTTTTGCAAATCAGTTACTTTTCATCTTTTATGTCTTGCCATGTTCAGAAAAAACAAGGTAGACATAAATCCTTTTACAGCTACAGTACTGCTTTGCTTGTTACTCAGAACTGGAATTCACGGACTTGACCTTTTCCTCCCTCCGTCACTGAAAATCAGAAGTAATTACAACTAAGCTGACTTGAGATTGATATATAAATAGTAAGCAAATAAATGACTGCGCTACATGATATGTATTGCTACCTCTTGGCCACATCCTTTGGAGTCTCTCCAGCATCATCTGTAATGTAACAGTCAGCTCCCCTTTCAAGTAACCACTGTAAGCAATGGACGTGCCCCTGTTCAGCAGCTGGGGAAAGGAAGGTGCACACAAGTCAGTTGTATTCAGCTGAAGTGTTTCAAACCTCATACATCCCCCTCTTGACACAGTTCAATGTGCCAGAGGGTGGGTTGATTAAGACCCCACAGGTGAGATGCTGTTTCAGAGAAGCCTGCGTTTCTAGATGATCAAGTCATATGGGCATGCCCATTTTTAGGGAAGATTCTGCAATGTGTTTTTGTGCCTGCCCCTAGTCCTGGAAATTTACTTGCAACTCTTGCTGGAGAGGAGCTAAACTAAACTTGCTCAGTCTCAGGCATTGAGCACAAGACACGCAAATACCTGCTGCCTCGCATGCTCTTGCTTTGAGGTCTGCATCTCACCCATTTGCAGCAAAGTGCTGTCATCTTTTCCTGGCTCTGGGCTCCCACACCTCACACAGGGTCGATTGGACCAATCCATGGCATACAGTGCTGGCTCACACAGAACAAGAGAAACAGGAGCTTTGTGCTGGAGCTACAGGCACACTTTTTGGGCCACATCCTTAAGGCATTTTGCTTTAATTAAAGACCCTTTGCAAAAGCTTCAGAATCTACTGTTTTTCTTTCTCCACAAATCAGCTGTGCTCAGCGCATGACCATCTCCACCGCGAGATGGCGACGTCTTCCCACACATTGAGGCAGCCCCAGGGTTTTGAGCATAGAATCATAGAATATCCTGAGTTGGAAGGGACCCTTAAGGATCATCAAGTCCAACTCTTGACACCGCACAGGTCTACCCAAAAGTTCAGACCATGTGACTAAGTGCACAGTCCAATCTCTTCTTAAATTCAGACAGGCTCGGTGCAGTGACCACTTCCCTGGGGAGCCTGTTCCAGTGTGCAACCACCCTCGCTGTGAAGAACCCCCTCCTGATGTCAAGCCTAAACTTCCCCTGCCTCAGCTTAACCCCGTTCCCGCGAGTCCTGTCACTGGTGTTAATGGAGAAAAGGTCTCCTGCCTCTCAACACCCCCTTACGAGGAAGTTGTAGACTGCGATGAGGTCTCCCCTCAGCCTCCTCTTCTCCAGGCTGAACAGGCCCAGTGCCCTCAGCTGTTCCTCGTACGTCTTCCCCTCCAGGCCTTTCACCATCTTCGTAGCTCTCCTCTGGACACTCTCCAACAGTTTCATGTCCTTTTTATACTGTGGTGCCCAGAACTGCACACAGTACTCGAGGCGAGGCCACACCAGCGCAGAGTAGAGCGGGACAATCACCTCCCTCGACCTACTAGCGATGCCGTGCTTGATGCACCCCAGGACACGGTTGGCCTTCCTGGCTGCCAGGGCACACTGCTGGCTCATATTCAACTTGCTGTCTACCACGACCCCCAGATCCCTCTCTTCTAGGCTGCTCTCCAGCGTCTCATCGCCCAGTCTGTACGTGCAGCCAGGGTTTCCCCGTCCCAGGTGCAGGACCCGGCACTTGCTCTTATTGAACTTCATGCGGTTGGCGATCGCCCAGCTCTCCAACCTAGCCAGATCCCTCTGCAAGGCCTTTCCACCCTCAACAGAGTCCACAACTCCTCCAAGTTTGGTGTCATCAGCAAACTTGCTCAAAATACCTTCTATTCCTTCATCCAGATCGTTTATAAAAATATTGAAAAGTACCGGCCCTAAAATGGAGCCCTGAGGGACCCCACTGGTGACCGCCCGCCAGCCTGACGCAGCCCCATTTACCATAACCCTTTGGGCCCTGCCCGTTAGCCAATTGCTCACCCATCGTATGATGTTTTTATTTAGCTGTATGGTGGACATTTTGTCCAGTAGGATCCTATGGGAAACCGTGTCAAAAGCCTTGCTGAAGTCCAAAAAAATCACATCAGCTGGTTTCCCTTGGTCCACCATACAGGTGATCTTATCATAAAAGGAAATCAGGTTAGTTAGGCAGGACCTACCCTTCACAAACCCATGCTGGCTGGGACCAATGACTGCTTTGTCCCCCAGGTGCGCCTCAATAAGTTCGAGAACCATCTTCTCCATGATTTTACCAGGCACTGACGTGAGACTGACAGGCCTGTAATTGCTAGGGTCTTCTTTCTGACCCTTCTTGAAAATCAGCACAACATTTGCCAGCTTCCAGTCTACCGGGACCTCTCCAGATTCCCAGGATCATTGAAAAATAATTGAGAGAGGTTCCGCGATGACGTCCACCAGCTCTTTCAGCACCCGGGGATGAATCCCATCCGGACCCATGGACTTGTAGGGATCCAGGTGGAGTAGCAAATCCCGCACACGTTCAGGGTCGGTTGGGAGTTTGTCATCCCCACCGTCCCGGTCCTCCAGCTCAGGGCACCCTGGGTCCCGAAGCCCATCATCGGCATTGAAGACAGAGGCAAAGAAGGCATTAAGCGTCTCTGCTTTGCCTATGTCATTGTCTGTGAGAAGACCTTCCCTATCAAGGAGCGGCCCTATGTATTCTTTAGTTCTCCTTTTTCCATTCACATATCTAAAAAAACCCTTTTTATTTTCTCTCACAGACACAGCCAGCTTCAACTCTAGGTGTGCTTTAGCCACACCAATTTTCTCCCTACAAACACGAACAGCATCCCTGTATTCTTTCCAGGACACCTGGCCCTCCTTCCAGTAACGAAACACTCTCTGTTTCCGCCTAATCTCCATCAGAATGTTCCTGGTCAGCCACGCCGGCCTCCTGCCCCGCCTGCCTGACTTGCGATATTTAGGAATTGCCTGATCTTGTGCTTCTAGGAGGCATCGCTTAAAGAATGACCAGCACTGGTGGACATCGAGGCCTTCAAGAGCAGTTTCCCAGGGGACCTTGCTGACTAGTTCCCTGAGCAGCCTGAAGTCCGCCTTCCCCATATCTAGGGATGAGGTTTTGGTGGCACTTTTCCTTCTGTCACCGTAAATTTTGAACTCAACCACTTCATGGTCGCTATGACCGAGGCGGCCACCAATCACCACATCTCCCACCAGACCCTCTCTGTTTTCTAGCAACAGGTCTAGGAGGGCACCTTTCCTAGTTGGCTCCGTCAGCGGCGACAGGGCAGGGGGTCCACCCCCATTTGGGGTGTCTCACCCCGGTACCTCTCCTTGAGGCCCTGCAGGGAGTTACTCCACCAGTCTATCTCCCGCTCACACTCCCTGATGGCCCTCAACCTCTCCACCTCCTCCTTGAGCTCCGCCACCATGCGGATCAGGTCATCCACCTGCTGGCACCTGACGCACGCAGCGTCTCTGCCTCCCGCCGATGGCAGCAGCAGGCTCTGACACTCCCTGCATCCGGTGACCTGAACCGCTGCATTCTTTAACGGGCAGTCGGTCTGGGTGTGTACCGACCTCCTGCAGAGCGCTCCGTGCCTTGTGGAGACCATTATCACCTAGCTAACGGCTGTCGTTAAGAGGTGTTCGTGTGGGCAGGGGGTTGCTCTCCGCCCTGCCACTCCCCTCTGACGGGCCACGCCCTGTTTGCCCGCCCTGGTCGCCGCGCTCCCTAGGGGCTGCTTTTGAACGGCCGGGGAGGGGTCGCTGCTGGCTCCGCCTTCGCCTCGTCAGCCTCCCTCACGAGGGCTGCCGGCTCCTGGCGGCTCCCTGAAGTCGGCTCGATGCCGGAAAATGAGCCCTGCCTGGCCCGATCCCCCGCTCCGCTGCAGAACGCGTCTGCCCCGGAGCCGATCGCCTCGGCAAATGGCCAAGAACTCATAAGAACTTCTTAGCCACACGTGCAGTTGTTTGGACCGAGAAGCCCAAGATATGCCCCAGTGATACCTCCAAGTCGAAGGAAAACAGCCATTCAGTTCGCCATCTGGGCATGTCCCTAATTAAACTTCTATGTGGGGATGATTCAGACACTCAAAAATAGTAACCACAAAGTCCACACACTCTTTGAACGACAGAGCAAATATTTAATGAACCGAGAGTGTTACATGTCTGTTAACAGCACAGCTTCTCTTTTTTTTTTTTAACCAACCTGTTCCTTAGTCAAGGCTTTGATCATCTCAGCTGTGATGTGCCTGTTGGATTTAGCCGTAGAGCCACCTTCCGTGGGGCTCCTGCCTGGCATTTCTTCTGGCTCCTTGTGAATAGGCATGGCTCTTCCAATCACACCCATTAGCTTTGACTCCAGAGGACCCAGTTTTAAGTATTCCTTAAGAAGAAAAAATATCTTTCTGCAGTTGCAGAGAAAAGAGGCAGCTCTTCGACAACAAACTAAACAAAACAAACAGCATCTTTCCTCTTAAAAGCAACTCCACGAGTGTTGTCCTGGGGTTGCCGTGTTCAGTAATTTCAGTGTCAGTGGGTTAATCTACAGGCCAGCTGATCCTAGGAGGATGCAGCCCTGCTGCTCTCTTTTTCTGCGTGTTTTCACCAATAATGTTTTCTCTGCAGCCCAAATTCTGCTCCCAAGTTTAGTTCCGTGAGAAGGATTAAACGAATCCAACAGTTCAGTACTGCCAAAAGAGAGAGATCCAAGTCCAGCTTGGTGCTTGCACCATGTTTGTGCTGGCTCTGGCCTTCTCTAGGCCTCTGACTCAGTTCAGGTGAGTCAAACTAATTCAAGGGGAAGAAACAAAACAAACAAAGGCAGGCTTTGCTGCTGGGACAGTGAGAGAACCAGCTACAGAAGAGGCAGATGCGCACTACAGTTCCCTAGAGGCAGCAGCAGGATTGTACAGCTAAGGCTAGGGAGAAGAAGGAACCCTACAGCACAAGGTCTTGAATCAAGTTTAGTAAATGCTTTCCTGCTAGTTGCAACACCACTGTTTGCAGTTACACTACACCTTAATTTTTGTGAAATACAGGAATGCCAGTAGCACCTGTGTCTCTCAGTAGGGTGGGCTCTACAGTGCTAACAGCAGGAGAGAAGAAGCAAAGCTAGTGTTCCTCTCCTGAGGCAACAGCTGCAAGGAAGCAAGCACCTGGACAGATTTTGTCTGTGTCGTGGTTCCGCTCGAGTGGGCAGCCGAGCTCCACCACAGCCGCTCTCTCACTCCCCCTCCTCAAAGAGGAATGGGGAGAAAATATGTGAAAGGGGCTCAAGGATTGAGATAAGGACGAGAAAATCACGCAATAATTAGTGTAACGGGCAAACCAGACTCAGCATAAGAAGATAGATAGTAAGATTTATTGCTCATTACTAACAAGCTAGAGAAGTGAGAAACAAAGGAAAGAAACCAAAAGCGCCTCCCCCCCCGATCGTCGTTAAGAGGTGTTCGTGTGGGCAGGGGGTTGCTCTCCGCCCTGCCACTCCCCTCTGACGCGCCACGCCCTGTTTGCCCGCCCTGTTCGCCGCGCTCCCTAGGGGCTGCTTTTGAACGGCCGGGGAGGGGTCGCTGCTGGCTCCGCCTTCGCCTCGTCAGCCTCCCTCACGAGGGCTGCCGGCTCCTGGCGGCTCCCTGAAGTCGGCTCGATGCCGGAAAATGAGCCCTGCCTGGCCCGATCCCCCGCTCCGCTGCAGAACGCGTCTGCCCCGGAGCCGATCGCCTCGGCAAATGGCGAGGCACTAGCAAATTACCGTCTATCATACAAAGATTTATTGGAACAGAGACAGCCAAAATGTTAATGCATGGTGGGAGCTCCAAAGGAAAATAACTTCACAATAGCATGCAGATAAGAGAAAAAAATCTGTATTATATGTAAAGCCATTAAATGTTTTTTTAGGCAGGGATGTCAGGATTGCTATTTCTAACCACAACATGCCCTGTAACCTAGTGACATCCTCAGCCTTGATTTAGAGTCGGGGGCCCACCGCTGCAGTTTATCTGGCACCTCACAAAGGAATAGCTTCAGGGCTTATTTAGGAATGGCTTGAAGGTGGAAAGTGAGGGGCCTGGCACCTGGCCCCGCAGTTCAGCAAGTACTTGCCCCAGACACTGCTTCAGGACCATGTTGCTGCGTCTGACTGAGGTCCCATGACATGGCTGCAGTTTTCTCTCATGACATGGCTGCTGCGTCTGACTGAGGTCCCATGACATGGCTGCAGTTTTCTCTCAAATGCTACAGTTTGTAAAACTGTTAACTACTACCTGGACAGGAACAGAAGTCTGACAGTGTAGGGTTTTTTTATTATTTTATTTTTTTTTTATTTTTGTTGTTTTGGTTTGTTTTTTATGCTGCTGCAGTGATCTAACAGTATATTCTATGCCAGAAAACTAGGAGAGTAGTTCAATGAAATTCAGTGAACCACAGCACATCTGTGGAACTGGGCTTCGCAAACACTTTGCACGGTGTAAAATATTGCCACTACCTCCTCAGGTCTTCCAGCCCCTTGTCTGATGTTCAGTCCTCAGCGCGGTCTCACAAACAAACACTCTGCCAGAGTTGCAGGCTGGTTTCTTCTTTACTTTCTTTTTCTCTTTGTGAGGATTGGAGATAGTTTCAGTTTTCTGAAACAAAGGATGCTACAGCCATTAAACAGCCATCACTGAAACTTGCTACCTCCCAAGACAGGCTTTAGAAATCCATGGCTTTAATAACCACAGAATACTGTATTTGTGCTGAAGCCGGGGTAGAATATAGTGGCAGGGCATGAGATAGCAGTCACAGCAAGGCAAAATGTGAAGGTCCCTTGGTTACAGCAGTCACAGCAGTTTTTGAAAATCTGCCTCAGTAGAAGTTGCCTCCTGCCTCAGCTATTGACACGTAATCACGTGTCAATCTGATTGATCACCATTAACGGCCAGTGGGGCTTTCCCAGACTGCTACTGGTAGCAAACTACCTACAGCCACTCCTCCACCGCAGGAATGAGGGCACTATGTCGTAGTTATCTCAGATTTTTAAACCTGCCAGGTGAGTAGAATGGGTAACATCCTACAGTGTGCTGTGGAAGCAGAAAGTGACTTTTTTTTTTTTTTTTTTTCAAAAGGAGAAAGCACTTGGCCAGCCAGAGGGTGGCAGCAGCAGGGAAGAGCTCAGCTCTGAGGACATAACAGAAAGCAAACAGCTGTGGGAGCTTCACAGTGTGTATGTGGTGGCAAGGAAAACAGGGACAGGTAACAGAGAGGGGAAACTGTACGCAGGAGGGGTGCAGAAACAGTCCTGCAACGGAGGGCAGGAGGAAGAAACCATGGAATGGGGTAGACAGAGATGGAACAAGCTGTGTAATGCAAGTTCCAAGGGAAAGCTGCAAGAAAACAACAGCAATTCCCTGACTGCTCTGTGGCTCAGAAGCCCTCAAAGCAACAACAACAACAACAACAACAAAAGGTATTTTTGGAAGCTATTCATAATTTCTTAGAAATGTCTCAGTGTCCTTTAAAGCCATTTGACTCAGCAGATGGTAAGCAGGCCATGCTGGAAGGATGGTATCTGCAAAAGCACCATTTGTACTGGCCATCCAGTAGGAGACTTGGTACAGCCAAAGGGTCCCACAGTCCACATTTAACTACTCAAGCGAAGGCTAAACCCACACGTGGCTTAAACAGTAGGAAAACTGAGCTCTAGCTGCCTGTTTCCTGCCCAATGCACTCACTAAGCATTTTTTCCCATCACGCTTGGAAAAGGACCCTTGCCCAGTAGAGATGCTCCAAATACCAGGCTGTCATTCAAACCTGGCTGAAGATATCAGTGCTTATCCAGCAACCCAATTTCTCCTCCAAGAAATAAGTAAATGTTCCATGTGAAGCACAGACCAGCTTCCCCATCCCATATGACTGCCCCAACAGCCTGTACACCTGTTTTCCCTCCCTCCCTCCCTCCGGATCTGTGAATATTGAGTTACAGTGGCCACACAACCATAAGCAGGGAGGGTGACTATGGCACCATCTCAGTAGAGCTGACACTGTGCTGGCTGAAGCAGCCCCTGGGGACGCATCTTCAGGCCCCTCTTTGGCAGAGGAAGGCCCTAAATCCAAGTGCCCCATGTTGTCAGTGACTCCTCAGCTGACTTTTAGACTGGTTATAGCAGGACCAGCAACCAGTTGCATGGCCAAGGCAGTGCAATGGCCAAAACAGCCAGTAAACAAAGGTCCAAGAACAGCATTGAACAGCCAGGCCGTGCACCTTTCACACTGGCTCTATCTTTGGACAACCCAGCAGTGTCACTGCACACCGCTTCCCACCTGCCGTAGCAGCAGGAGCCCAGGTGCCTCACCAAAGGCTGGACTGTATGGCAAAGATCTGAGAAACAGGACATTGACTTATCACATTGTCTTGTGGGAGATTATATGTGGCAGAGGGAGACCTGAAAAGCCAGCTCTCCTGTCCCCAAACTTAGCATGTGAACTTCTGATCTGTCCTCAGATGTGATGAAAAATGTGTCTATACGTTTTCTGTCTTTGCCTGCTAAGTCAACCAATCGTTCATGCCAGTATCTGCTTTGCTGTCAGTGGACTTGGTAATTAAGATGACACGAGACCACTTGCTGAAATCAGTCATTGCACACAGCAGTACAGCACTCTGCCCATTCACTTGCCAGTCTGGAGTAAAAGGAAGGAAAACAAATCTAATGACAAGGAGAAGAGCTATCCTGAAAGAATACAGATGTTTCTCTGCCAGGGCACAAGGAGAAACTGCTATCTTTTCAGAGCAGAGACACTGTCAGGATGCAGCAAAGGCTGCTGCTTCCCTCAGTGTCCCAAGCTGAAAGCTGCTGACACATTTACTCTGGTATTTCCTAGCACCATGCTGTGGAATCTTAGCAAGAATGGATGTGCACAAGCAGTGGGACAAGTCTCTGTCCCACACTCTGGGAAAGGGGCCGTTCAGGTGGCACGCACCAGGGCTGCAGGTGGCTTGCAGGTTTCCTCCAGTCTCTCTCTCAGGTGGCTTATCTCAGCACGGTAGTCATCCAGCTGGCTCTCCAGCTTCTCCCGCCTGACTCGCTCGAATTCCAGCTGAGCCTCCAGCTCCTTCACAGCCCTGCCAAAAGCAAAGGAGACAAACGGAGCATAAAGCACATCCAAGCATGTCCTGGCTACTCCACGTGTTGTTTTTTTTTTTCAGGAGCAGGTTAGTCACAGCAGAAAACTGCAGTTCCAGTGTGCTCCTGGCTTAAGACCCTTTGCAAAAGCTTCAGAATCTACTGTTTTTCTTTCTCCACAAATCAGCTGTGCTCAGCGCATGACCATCTTCACCGCGAGATGGCGACGTCTTCCCACACATTGAGCCAGCCCCAGGGTTTTGAGCAGGCTGCAACCCAGGTCTTTCTCCAGCTTCTGAAGAGGGAGAAATACCCAAGAGGTAGAAGAGTTGGCAGGAAACAGAGAACAGGCATAAAACTGGTTTTCTGGACAGGCCAGGGGCAGTTTCTTCATTTATGGCTGGTTCCTCCACATCCTTCCTAAAGTGATTGGGTTAACCACAGATGAGGAATGATCAAATGACAGCCTGCATGGCACCGACTAAAGGAAAGCGGAAGCACTGGCTGATAAACAGTTGCACAAGTCCTCATCAGTCACCCCCACAGTGGCTACTAAATTAACTGAGATTCCTGGAACTGGTTAGCTGAGACATAATTGAGATATATTCTTATAACAACAATTGACCTCAACAGCTGAGTCATGTGGAGTTGAGCTGGCTCTCATCTGTAGCATGAGTTAGCACAGCTACAAAGACAGAATACTGGTAAAAGGAAAAGGGAGATGTCTGCCATGTGGATTCAAATAGCAGGGCAGGAAAAAAAGCTGACAGAAGAGCTACTGCATTGCCCAGACCAAAACATTCCTGACTCACAGTCCAAAGCGACCGGCCTGTGTCAGCCTTACTGACACTAAAAGAATGACCTGTGCTTTTGCAGGGAACTCAGTGCCTGGGGGAACAAGGTGACTTCTTGCACACTCCGGATTTGTGGGGCACAGCTCCAGCACGGTGTGGCACACATGCGGTGGCATTTGTTTCCATGCTATGCAGCCTGGCCCTGCACAGCAGCTCCCACCAGGCCTCTAACAGCAAAATCTGAAAGAGCAACTTTCCCAAGTGGCAATTCCTGCTTTTCATCTAGTAAAATGATGCTGTTGATAAATATTTTTAAATAATGAGGTTTTCTAGCATATGACACAAGCATCTTGGGGTTTATACACAGGTGTCTGTCAGTATCCTGAGGAGCAGTATTTCGGTTTCAAAAGGCCAGACAGGATCTAGGGATGCTCTCTAGCCTCCACAGATGACATCCCTCAGAGACCCTCACAATTACTGTTTTACTAGTTTAGCCCCACATGCCATGGAAAGCAAAATCCCTTACAAGAGCCCTCTAACAGGCACTGCCAGCTTTTCAGTAGCTGCTGTATCCAAAATGAGCTCTCATTTCTGCTGTTAGCCAACAGTGACTTTTCCAGTGCTGCAAACATGTTGCTCTAGTAACACGTTTGGTTTGCAGTGGCCCAAACGTGGACATGGACATGCTTGTCTACAAGAATTAAGAACAAAATGCAACCAAATGTTTGACAGATAGAATAGGGACAGGATGTTGCTTTCTTGTTTGAGGTCTGAATCTTTAAGAGAAATAGAGGCATTTCTTTAAAACTTAGACAGTCTGCCCATCTAAACATCTAACTCATCTAACAGAAACCTTTTATTTAATGGAGACCCTGAGAATTAGGCAGAAACTATGTAAAGTGCTTCACATGCAAAGGGAGGTTTGCTGAGATTTCTATTTTTGTGGTCTGAAAATGACCTAATGTCTTCATGAGCACAGAAATACACTGCTCTTGACAAAGAAATATAACAGGTCATTAAATAACTCCTCCTGTATATGCACTTCCATGCAAGCCATGCTAAGACTAATGCTTCTATTCAGACTTATTAAAGTGCATACATGTATTCAGCATCCTTGAAAAAAAAAAAAAAAAAAAAAGAGCATAGTCAGGATTTATGTAGAGACTACTGCACATACACTGCAGGAAAACCTGAAGGCAGAACAGGTAGCCCTGCACAAGTAAAAGAAGTACATACACATAATAATTTGTGTTGTACTGTAAGGCTGATCCTGGTCACAGAAGTCCAGAAATGGCCAGGAAAATCACTGAAGTCCTTTTCTTTTTGGCCTGGCTAAAGTTGGTAAGTGGAAAAGACAAAATGGCCAAAGCAATTTGAGTGTAAGGTAGCCTTAAAGAAGGCTTTAAAATGGGCCTTGCTGAGTTAAACATTACCAGAGGAAGTTAACCTTACTTCTCAACATCCCTTTGTTCTTTTTTCATCTTCTTCTCCTCCTCCGTTATTCCTCCCAGTTGTCTGTAGTTGCCGTAGGCAATTTCTAGAAGATGCTGAAGTTCTTGAATCTTGCGATAGGCCCTTACTGTAAGACAGAGACCTCCAGGTAGGTAAAATGCACAGAGAGAACTGAAGACAGTCATGCTGAAATCCAATAGTCTGGAAAAGTCTCACAAAGACAGAAATCACACTGCTCAGCAGATACTGAGATGTATCTGACACCCACACAACAGACAGCTCCCAGAAACAAGGAGCAATCCAATGCAGTTTCACCAACACAGATTAAAACACTGGAACAGATACGTTCTGACTGTCCTGCACTATGCTTCCTAATTTTCCACAATTTGTTTGAATACTCATCAGTACAGATACCCTGTCACCAAACTCATCCTACAACAAAGTCGCATCAGTTAGCAGAAACTGTGCAAGTAGGAACAGAATGTCTCGAGACTACCTTTTTGAATAAGGAGTGATGAAAATGCTTACTGCGTGCGTTCCTTTTCTCTGCTTTGCTCAGGATTAAATCTTCTTTGCTATCCGTACTCCCTTCCACACCATGTCTTTCAAAAAATTTTGCATTGTTTGCATCTAGCTCTTCATCACTGGAGTTACTGTCTCCAGTTCTTCGTGTCAAAAGTTCTACAGCTGCCAGCTGGGCAAATCTGCAGAGAGAACAGTTAACCTACACTGATACATCCCCGTAATCTGTAAAAGCATAGCCATGCTCCCCACATATGATGGAAACTCTCTGAAACTCTTCATGTTCCCATTTACAAGAGGGAGTTTCAGGGTTACAGGAAGCATTGGTACACAAACTACGAGCAGCTGATCTGCTTTCTGCAGTATTCTCCCAGCATGAGCTCTGCCTCACTGAAATCCTATGGCAATGACTCCCACATCAGAGAGATCTTTTCCTGTGTAGGATTTCTTAACTGAATCTCATCAGCAACTGCATTATTTTTATTAATGCAAAAAATCAGACAGCTTTCTCTAGTTCTCATTTACTTCGTGCAGTTGGAGCATACAGGCTTACGACCTTCCTTTTGCAAATCAGTTACTTTTCATCTTTTATGTCTTGCCATGTTCAGAAAAAACAAGGTAGACATAAATCCTTTTACAGCTACAGTACTGCTTTGCTTGTTACTCAGAACTGGAATTCACGGACTTGACCTTTTCCTCCCTCCGTCACTGAAAATCAGAAGTAATTACAACTAAGCTGACTTGAGATTGATATATAAATAGTAAGCAAATAAATGACTGCGCTACATGATATGTATTGCTACCTCTTGGCCACATCCTTTGGAGTCTCTCCAGCATCATCTGTAATGTAACAGTCAGCTCCCCTTTCAAGTAACCACTGTAAGCAATGGACGTGCCCCTGTTCAGCAGCTGGGGAAAGGAAGGTGCACACAAGTCAGTTGTATTCAGCTGAAGTGTTTCAAACCTCATACATCCCCCTCTTGACACAGTTCAATGTGCCAGAGGGTGGGTTGATTAAGACCCCACAGGTGAGATGCTGTTTCAGAGAAGCCTGCGTTTCTAGATGATCAAGTCATATGGGCATGCCCATTTTTAGGGAAGATTCTGCAATGTGTTTTTGTGCCTGCCCCTAGTCCTGGAAATTTACTTGCAACTCTTGCTGGAGAGGAGCTAAACTAAACTTGCTCAGTCTCAGGCATTGAGCACAAGACACGCAAATACCTGCTGCCTCGCATGCTCTTGCTTTGAGGTCTGCATCTCACCCATTTGCAGCAAAGTGCTGTCATCTTTTCCTGGCTCTGGGCTCCCACACCTCACACAGGGTCGATTGGACCAATCCATGGCATACAGTGCTGGCTCACACAGAACAAGAGAAACAGGAGCTTTGTGCTGGAGCTACAGGCACACTTTTTGGGCCACATCCTTAAGGCATTTTGCTTTAATTAAAGACCCTTTGCAAAAGCTTCAGAATCTACTGTTTTTCTTTCTCCACAAATCAGCTGTGCTCAGCGCATGACCATCTCCACCGCGAGATGGCGACGTCTTCCCACACATTGAGGCAGCCCCAGGGTTTTGAGCATAGAATCATAGAATATCCTGAGTTGGAAGGGACCCTTAAGGATCATCAAGTCCAACTCTTGACACCGCACAGGTCTACCCAAAAGTTCAGACCATGTGACTAAGTGCACAGTCCAATCTCTTCTTAAATTCAGACAGGCTCGGTGCAGTGACCACTTCCCTGGGGAGCCTGTTCCAGTGTGCAACCACCCTCGCTGTGAAGAACCCCCTCCTGATGTCAAGCCTAAACTTCCCCTGCCTCAGCTTAACCCCGTTCCCGCGAGTCCTGTCACTGGTGTTAATGGAGAAAAGGTCTCCTGCCTCTCAACACCCCCTTACGAGGAAGTTGTAGACTGCGATGAGGTCTCCCCTCAGCCTCCTCTTCTCCAGGCTGAACAGGCCCAGTGCCCTCAGCTGTTCCTCGTACGTCTTCCCCTCCAGGCCTTTCACCATCTTCGTAGCTCTCCTCTGGACACTCTCCAACAGTTTCATGTCCTTTTTATACTGTGGTGCCCAGAACTGCACACAGTACTCGAGGCGAGGCCACACCAGCGCAGAGTAGAGCGGGACAATCACCTCCCTCGACCTACTAGCGATGCCGTGCTTGATGCACCCCAGGACACGGTTGGCCTTCCTGGCTGCCAGGGCACACTGCTGGCTCATATTCAACTTGCTGTCTACCACGACCCCCAGATCCCTCTCTTCTAGGCTGCTCTCCAGCGTCTCATCGCCCAGTCTGTACGTGCAGCCAGGGTTTCCCCGTCCCAGGTGCAGGACCCGGCACTTGCTCTTATTGAACTTCATGCGGTTGGCGATCGCCCAGCTCTCCAACCTAGCCAGATCCCTCTGCAAGGCCTTTCCACCCTCAACAGAGTCCACAACTCCTCCAAGTTTGGTGTCATCAGCAAACTTGCTCAAAATACCTTCTATTCCTTCATCCAGATCGTTTATAAAAATATTGAAAAGTACCGGCCCTAAAATGGAGCCCTGAGGGACCCCACTGGTGACCGCCCGCCAGCCTGACGCAGCCCCATTTACCATAACCCTTTGGGCCCTGCCCGTTAGCCAATTGCTCACCCATCGTATGATGTTTTTATTTAGCTGTATGGTGGACATTTTGTCCAGTAGGATCCTATGGGAAACCGTGTCAAAAGCCTTGCTGAAGTCCAAAAAAATCACATCAGCTGGTTTCCCTTGGTCCACCATACAGGTGATCTTATCATAAAAGGAAATCAGGTTAGTTAGGCAGGACCTACCCTTCACAAACCCATGCTGGCTGGGACCAATGACTGCTTTGTCCCCCAGGTGCGCCTCAATAAGTTCGAGAACCATCTTCTCCATGATTTTACCAGGCACTGACGTGAGACTGACAGGCCTGTAATTGCTAGGGTCTTCTTTCTGACCCTTCTTGAAAATCAGCACAACATTTGCCAGCTTCCAGTCTACCGGGACCTCTCCAGATTCCCAGGATCATTGAAAAATAATTGAGAGAGGTTCCGCGATGACGTCCACCAGCTCTTTCAGCACCCGGGGATGAATCCCATCCGGACCCATGGACTTGTAGGGATCCAGGTGGAGTAGCAAATCCCGCACACGTTCAGGGTCGGTTGGGAGTTTGTCATCCCCACCGTCCCGGTCCTCCAGCTCAGGGCACCCTGGGTCCCGAAGCCCATCATCGGCATTGAAGACAGAGGCAAAGAAGGCATTAAGCGTCTCTGCTTTGCCTATGTCATTGTCTGTGAGAAGACCTTCCCTATCAAGGAGCGGCCCTATGTATTCTTTAGTTCTCCTTTTTCCATTCACATATCTAAAAAAACCCTTTTTATTTTCTCTCACAGACACAGCCAGCTTCAACTCTAGGTGTGCTTTAGCCACACCAATTTTCTCCCTACAAACACGAACAGCATCCCTGTATTCTTTCCAGGACACCTGGCCCTCCTTCCAGTAACGAAACACTCTCTGTTTCCGCCTAATCTCCATCAGAATGTTCCTGGTCAGCCACGCCGGCCTCCTGCCCCGCCTGCCTGACTTGCGATATTTAGGAATTGCCTGATCTTGTGCTTCTAGGAGGCATCGCTTAAAGAATGACCAGCACTGGTGGACATCGAGGCCTTCAAGAGCAGTTTCCCAGGGGACCTTGCTGACTAGTTCCCTGAGCAGCCTGAAGTCCGCCTTCCCCATATCTAGGGATGAGGTTTTGGTGGCACTTTTCCTTCTGTCACCGTAAATTTTGAACTCAACCACTTCATGGTCGCTATGACCGAGGCGGCCACCAATCACCACATCTCCCACCAGACCCTCTCTGTTTTCTAGCAACAGGTCTAGGAGGGCACCTTTCCTAGTTGGCTCCGTCAGCGGCGACAGGGCAGGGGGTCCACCCCCATTTGGGGTGTCTCACCCCGGTACCTCTCCTTGAGGCCCTGCAGGGAGTTACTCCACCAGTCTATCTCCCGCTCACACTCCCTGATGGCCCTCAACCTCTCCACCTCCTCCTTGAGCTCCGCCACCATGCGGATCAGGTCATCCACCTGCTCGCACCTGACGCACGCAGCGTCTCTGCCTCCCGCCGATGGCAGCAGCAGGCCGGTGACCTGAACCGCTGCATTCTTTAACGGGCAGTCGGTCTGGGTGTGTACCGACCTCCTGGAGAGCGCACCGTGCCTGGTGGAGACCATTATCACCTAGCTAAAGACTGTCGTTAACAGGTGTTCGTATGGGAGGGGGTAGCTCTCCGCCCTTCCTGCTCGCCCTGCCTGCGCGAACTGCCGCGCTAACTGCCGCGCCACTCCCTTCTGACGCGCCACGCCCTGTTTGCCCGCCCTGTTCGCCGCGCTCCCTAGGGGCTGCTTTTGAACGGCCGGGGAGGGGTCGCTGCTGGCTCCGCCTTCGCCTCGTCAGCCTCCCTCACGAGGGCTGCCGGGTCCTGGCGGCTCCCTGAAGTCGGCTCGATGCCCGAAAGTTAGCCCTGCCTGGCCCGATCCCCCGCTCCGCTGCAGAACGCGTCTGCCCCGGAGCCGATCGCCTCGGCAAATGGCCAAGAACTCATAAGAACTTCTTAGCCACACGTGCAGTTGTTTGGACTGAGAAGCCCAAGATATGCCCCAGCGATACCTCCAAGTCGAAGGAAAACAGCCATTCAGTTCGCCATCTGGGCATGTCCCTAATTAAACTTCTATGTGGGGATGATTCAGACACTCAAAAATAGTAACCACAAAGTCCACACACTCTGAACGACAGAGCAAATGTTTAATGAACCGAGAGTGTTACATGTCTGTTAACAGCACAGCTTCTCTTTTTTTTTTTAACCAACCTGTTCCTTAGTCAAGGCTTTGATCATCTCAGCTGTGATGTGCCTGTTGGATTTAGCCGTAGAGCCACCTTCCGTGGGGCTCCTGCCTGGCATTTCTTCTGGCTCCTTGTGAATAGACATGGCTGTTCCAATCACACACATTAGCTTTGACTCCAGAGGACCCAGTTTTAAGTATTCCTTAAGAAGAAAAAATATCTTTCTGCAGTTGCAGAGAAAAGAGGCAGCTCTTCGACAACAAACTAAACAAAACAAACAGCATCTTTCTTCTTAAAAGCAACTCCACGAGTGTTGTCCTGGGGTTGCCGTGTTCAGTAATTTCAGTGTCAGTGGGTTAATCTACAGGCCAGCTGATCCTAGGAGGATGCAGCCCTGCTGCTCTCTTTTTCTGCGTGTTTTCACCAATAATGTTTTCTCTGCAGCCCAAATTCTGCTCCCAAGTTTAGTTCCGTGAGAAGGATTAAACGAATCCAACAGTTCAGTACTGCCAAAAGAGAGAGATCCAAGTCCAGCTTGGTGCTTGCACCATGTTTGTGCTGGCTCTGGCCTTCTCTAGGCCTCTGACTCAGTTCAGGTGAGTCAAACTAATTCAAGGGGAAGAAACAAAACAAACAAAGGCAGGCTTTGCTGCTGGGACAGTGAGAGAACCAGCTACAGAAGAGGCAGATGCGCACTACAGTTCCCTAGAGGCAGCAGCAGGATTGTACAGCTAAGGCTAGGGAGAAGAAGGAACCCTACAGCACAAGGTCTTGAATCAAGTTTAGTAAATGCTTTCCTGCTAGTTGCAACACCACTGTTTGCAGTTACACCTTAATTTTTGTGAAAAACAGGAATGCCAGTAGCACCTGTGTCTCTCAGTAGGGTGGGCTCTACAGTGCTAACAGCAGGAGAGAAGAAGCAAAGCTAGTGTTCCTCTCCTGAGGCAACAGCTGCAAGGAAGCAAGCACCTGGACAGATTTTGTCTGTGTCGTGGTTCTGCTCGAGTGGGCAGCCGAGCTCCACCACAGCCGCTCTCTCACTCCCCCTCCTCAAAGAGGAATGGGGAGAAAATATGTGAAAGGGGCTCAAGGATTGAGATAAGGACGAGAAAATCACGCAATAATTAGTGTAACGGGCAAACCAGACTCAGCATAAGAAGACAGATAGTAAGATTTATTGCTCATTACTAACAAGCTAGAGAAGTGAGAAACAAAGGAAAGAAACCAAAAGCGCCTCCCCCCCCCATCGTCGTTAAGAGGTGTTCGTGTGGGCAGGGGGTTGCTCTCCGCCCTGCCACTCCCCTCTGACGCGCCACGCCCTGTTTGCCCGCCCTGTTCGCCGCGCTCCCTAGGGGCTGCTTTTGAACGGCCGGGGAGGGGTCGCTGCTGGCTCCGCCTTCGCCTCGTCAGCCTCCCTCACGAGGGCTGCCGGCTCCTGGCGGCTCCCTGAAGTCGGCTCGATGCCGGAAAATGAGCCCTGCCTGGCCCGATCCCCCGCTCCGCTGCAGAACGCGTCTGCCCCGGAGCCGATCGCCTCGGCAAATGGCGAGGCACTAGCAAATTACCGTCTATCATACAAAGATTTATTGGAACAGAGACAGCCAAAATGTTAATGCATGGTGGGAGCTCCAAAGGAAAATAACTTCACAATAGCATGCAGATAAGAGAAAAAAATCTGTATTATATGTAAAGCCATTAAATGTTTTTTTAGGCAGGGATGTCAGGATTGCTATTTCTAACCACAACATGCCCTGTAACCTAGTGACATCCTCAGCCTTGATTTAGAGTCGGGGGCCCACCGCTGCAGTTTATCTGGCACCTCACAAAGGAATAGCTTCAGGGCTTATTTAGGAATGGCTTGAAGGTGGAAAGTGAGGGGCCTGGCACCTGTCCCCGCAGTTCAGCAAGTACTCGTCCCAGACACTGCTTCAGGACCATGTTGCTGCGTCTGACTGAGGTCCCATGACATGGCTGCAGTTTTCTCTCATGACATGGCTGCTGCGTCTGACTGAGGTCCCATGACATGGCTGCAGTTTTCTCTCAAATGCTACAGTTTGTAAAACTCTTAACTATTACCTGGACAGGAACAGAAGTCTGACAGTGTGGGGTTTTTTTATTATTTTATTTTATTTTTGTTGTTTTGGTTTGTTTTTTATGCTGTTGCAGTGAACTAACAGTATATTCTATGCCAGAAAACTAGGAGAGTAGTTCAATGAAATTCAGTGAACCACAGCACATCTGTGGAACTGGGCTTCGCAAATACTTTGCACGGTCTAAAATATTGCCACTACCTCCTCAGGTCTTCCAGCCGCTTGTCTGATGTTCAGTCCTCAGCGCGGTCTCACAAACAAACACTCTGCCAGAGTTGCAGGCTGGTTTCTTCTTTACTTTCTTTTTCTCTTTGTGAGGATTGGAGATAGTTTCAGTTTTCTGAAACAAAGGATGCTACAGCCATTAAACAGCCATCACTGAAACTTGCTACCTCCCAAGACAGGCTTTAGAAATCCATGGCTTTAATAACCACAGAATACTGTATTTGTGCTGAAGCCGGGGTAGAATATAGTGGCAGGGCATGAGATAGCAGTCACAGCAAGGCAAAATGTGAAGGTCCCTTGGTTACAGCAGTCACAGCAGTTTTTTGAAAATCTGCCTCAGTAGAAGTTGCCTCCTGCCTCAGCTATTGACACGTAATCACGTGTCAATCTGATTGATCACCATTAACGGCCAGTGGGGCTTTCCCAGACTGCTACTGGTAGCAAACTACGTACAGCCACTCCTCCACCGCAGGAATGAGGGCACTATGTCGTAGTTATCTCAGATTTTTAAACCTGCCAGGTGAGTAGAATGGGTAACATCCTACAGTGTGCTGTGGAAGCAGAAAGTGACTTTTTTTTTTTTTTTTTTTCAAAAGGAGAAAGCACTTGGCCAGCCAGAGGGTGGCAGCAGCAGGGAAGAGCTCAGCTCTGAGGACATAACAGAAAGCAAACAGCTGTGGGAGCTTCACAGTGTGTATGTGGTGGCAAGGAAAACAGGGACAGGTAACAGAGAGGGGAAACTGTACGCAGGAGGGGTGCAGAAACAGTCCTGCAAGGGAGGGCAGGAGGAAGAAACCATGGAATGGGGTAGACAGAGATGGAACAAGCTGTGTAATGCAAGTTCCAAGGGAAAGCTGCAAGAAAACAACAGCAATTCCCTGACTGCTCTGTGGCTCAGAAGCCCTCAAAGCAACAACAACAACAACAACAACAAAAGGTATTTTTGGAAGCTATTCATAATTTCTTAGAAATGTCTCAGTGTCCTTTAAAGCCATTTGACTCAGCAGATGGTAAGCAGGCCATGCTGGAAGGATGGTATCTGCAAAAGCACCATTTGTACTGGCCATCCAGTAGGAGACTTGGTACAGCCAAAGGGTCCCACAGTCCACATTTAACTACTCAAGCGAAGGCTAAACCCACACGTGGCTTAAACAGTAGGAAAACTGAGCTCTAGCTGCCTGTTTCCTGCCCAATGCACTCACTAAGCATTTTTTCCCATCACGCTTGGAAAAGGACCCTTGCCCAGTAGAGATGCTCCAAATACCAGGCTGTCATTCAAACCTGGCTGAAGATATCAGTGCTTATCCAGCAACCCAATTTCTCCTCCAAGAAATAAGTAAATGTTCCATGTGAAGCACAGACCAGCTTCCCCATCCCATATGACTGCCCCAACAGCCTGTACACCTGTTTTCCCTCCCTCCCTCCCTCCGGATCTGTGAATATTGAGTTACAGTGGCCACACAACCATAAGCAGGGGGGGTGACTATGGCACCATCTCAGTAGAGCTGACACTGTGCTGGCTGAAGCAGCCCCTGGGGACGCATCTTCAGGCCCCTCTTTGGCAGAGGAAGGCCCTAAATCCAAGTGCCCCATGTTGTCAGTGACTCCTCAGCTGACTTTTAGACTGGTTATAGCAGGACCAGCAACCAGTTGCATGGCCAAGGCAGTGCAATGGCCAAAACAGCCAGTAAACAAAGGTCCAAGAACAGCATTGAACAGCCAGGCCGTGCACCTTTCACACTGGCTCTATCTTTGGACAACCCAGCAGTGTCACTGCACACCGCTTCCCACCTGCCGTAGCAGCAGGAGCCCAGGTGCCTCACCAAAGGCTGGACTGTATGGCAAAGATCTGAGAAACAGGACATTGACTTATCACATTGTCTTGTGGGAGATTATATGTGGCAGAGGGAGACCTGAAAAGCCAGCTCTCCTGTCCCCAAACTTAGCATGTGAACTTCTGATCTGTCCTCAGATGTGATGAAAAATGTGTCTATACGTTTTCTGTCTTTGCCTGCTAAGTCAACCAATCGTTCATGCCAGTATCTGCTTTGCTGTCAGTGGACTTGATAATTAAGATGACACGAGACCACTTGCTGAAATCAGTCATTGCACACAGCAGTACAGCACTCTGCCCATTCACTTGCCAGTCTGGAGTAAAAGGAAGGAAAACAAACCTAATGACAAGGAGAAGAGCTATCCTGAAAGAATACAGATGCTTCTCTGCCAGGGCACAAGGAGAAACTGCTATCTTTTCAGAGCAGAGACACTGTCAGGATGCAGCAAAGGCTGCTGCTTCCCTCAGTGTCCCAAGCTGAAAGCTGCTGACACATTTACTCTGGTATTTCCTAGCACCATGCTGTGGAATCTTAGCAAGAATGGATGTGCACAAGCAGTGGGACAAGTCTCTGTCCCACACTCTGGGAAAGGGGCCGTTCAGGTGGCACGCACCAGGGCTGCAGGTGGCTTGCAGGTTTCCTCCAGTCTCTCTCTCAGGTGGCTTATCTCAGCACGGTAGTCATCCAGCTGGCTCTCCAGCTTCTCCCGCCTGACTCGCTCGAATTCCAGCTGAGCCTCCAGCTCCTTCACAGCCCTGCCAAAAGCAAAGGAGACAAACGGAGCATAAAGCACATCCAAGCATGTCCTGGCTACTCCACGTGTTGTTTTTTTTTTCAGGAGCAGGTTAGTCACAGCAGAAAACTGCAGTTCCAGTGTGCTCCTGGCTTAAGACCCTTTGCAAAAGCTTCAGAATCTACTGTTTTTCTTTCTCCACAAATCAGCTGTGCTCAGCGCATGACCATCTCCACCGCGAGATGGCGACGTCTTCCCACACATTGAGCCAGCCCCAGGGTTTTGAGCAGGCTGCAACCCAGGTCTTTCTCCAGCTTCTGAAGAGGGAGAAATACCCAAGAGGTAGAAGAGTTGGCAGGAAACAGAGAACAGGCATAAAACTGGTTTTCTGGACAGGCCAGGGGCAGTTTCTTCATTTATGGCTGGTTCCTCCACATCCTTCCTAAAGTGATTGGGTTAACCACAGATGAGGAATGATCAAATGACAGCCTGCATGGCACCGACTAAAGGAAAGCGGAAGCACTGGCTGATAAACAGTTGCACAAGTCCTCATCAGTCACCCCCACAGTGGCTACTAAATTAACTGAGATTCCTGGAACTGGTTAGCTGAGACATAATTGAGATATATTCTTATAACAACAATTGACCTCAACAGCTGAGTCATGTGGAGTTGAGCTGGCTCTCATCTGTAGCATGAGTTAGCACAGCTACAAAGACAGAATACTGGTAAAAGGAAAAGGGAGATGTCTGCCATGTGGATTCAAATAGCAGGGCAGGAAAAAAAGCTGACAGAAGAGCTACTGCATTGCCCAGACCAAAACATTCCTGACTCACAGTCCAAAGCGACCGGCCTGTGTCAGCCTTACTGACACTAAAAGAATGACCTGTGCTTTTGCAGGGAACTCAGTGCCTGGGGGAACAAGGTGACTTCTTGCACACTCCGGATTTGTGGGGCACAGCTCCAGCACGGTGTGGCACACATGCGGTGGCATTTGTTCCATGCTATGCAGCCTGGCCCTGCACAGCAGCTCCCACCAGGCCTCTAACAGCAAAATCAGAAAGAGCAACCTTCCCAAGTGGCAATTCCTGCTTTTCATCTAGTAAAATGATGCTGCTGATAAATATTTTTAAATAATGAGGTTTTCTAGCATATGACACAAGCATCTTGGGGTTTATACACAGGTGTCTGTCAGTATCCTGAGGAGCAGTATTTCGGTTTCAAAAGGCCAGACAGGATCTAGGGATGCTCTCTAGCCTCCACAGATGACATCCCTCAGAGACCCTCACAATTACTGTTTTACTAGTTTAGCCCCACATGCCATGGAAAGCAAAATCCCTTACAAGAGCCCTCTAACAGGCACTGCCAGCTTTTCAGTAGCTGCTGTATCCAAAATGAGCTCTCATTTCTGCTGTTAGCCAACAGTGACTTTTCCAGTGCTGCAAACATGTTGCTCTAGTAACACGTTTGGTTTGCAGTGGCCCAAACGTGGACATGGACATGCTTGTCTACAAGAATTAAGAACAAAATGCAACCAAATGTTTGACAGATAGAATAGGGACAGGATGTTGCTTTCTTGTTTGAGGTCTGAATCTTTAAGAGAAATAGAGGCATTTCTTAAAACTTAGACAGTCTGCCCATCTAAACATCTAACTCATCTAACAGAAACCTTTTATTTAATGGAGACCCTGAGAATTAGGCAGAAACTATGTAAAGTGCTTCACATGCAAAGGGAGGTTTGCTGAGATTTCTATTTTTGTGGTCTGAAAATGACCTAATGTCTTCATGAGCACAGAAATACACTGCTCTTGACAAAGAAATATAACAGGTCATTAAATAACTCCTCCTGTATATGCACTTCCATGCAAGCCATGCTAAGACTAATGCTTCTATTCAGACTTATTAAAGTGCATACATGTATTCAGCATCCTTGAAAAAAAAAAAAAAAAAAAAAGAGCATAGTCAGGATTTATGTAGAGAACTACTGCACATACACTGCAGGAAAACCTGAAGGCAGAACAGGTAGCCCTGCACAAGTAAAAGAAGTACATACACATAATAATTTGTGTTGTACTGTAAGGCTGATCCTGGTCACAGAAGTCCAGAAATGGCCAGGAAAATCACTGAAGTCCTTTTCTTTTTGGCCTGGCTAAAGTTGGTAAGTGGAAAAGACAAAATGGCCAAAGCAATTTGAGTGTAAGGTAGCCTTAAAGAAGGCTTTAAAATGGGCCTTGCTGAGTTAAACATTACCAGAGGAAGTTAACCTTACTTCTCAACATCCCTTTGTTCTTTTTTTACATCTTCTTCTCCTCCTCCGTTATTCCTCCCAGTTGTCTGTAGTGTGCCGTAGGCAATTTTTAGAAGATGCTGAAGTTCTTGAATCTTGTGATAGGCCCTTACTGTAAGACAGAGACCTCCAGGTAGGTAAAAATGCAACAGAGAGAACTGAAGACCAGTCATGCTGAAATCCAATAGTCTGGAAAAGTCTCACAAAGACAGAAATCACACTGCTCAGCAGATACTGAGATGTATCTGACACCCACACAACAGACAGCTTCCCAGAAACAAGGAGCAATCCAATGCAGTTTCACCAACACAGATTAAAACACTGGAACAGATACGTTCTGACTGTCCTGCACTATGCTTCCTAATTTTCCACAAATTTGGTTTGAATACCATCAGTAACAGATACCCTGTCACCAAACTCATCCTACAACAAAGTCGCATCAGTTAGCAGAAACTGTGCAAGTAGGAACAGAATGTCTCGAGACTACCTTTTGAATAAGGAGTGATGAAAATGCTTACTGCGTGCGTTCCTTTTCTCTGCTTTGCTCAGGATTAAATCTTCTTTGCTATCCGTACTCCCTTCCACACCATGTCTTTCAAAAAATTTTGCATTGTTTGCATCCTAGTTCTTCATCACTGGAGTTACTGTCTCCAGTTCTTTGTGTCCAAAAGTTCTACAGCTGCCAGCTGGGCAAATCGCAGAGAGAACAGTTAACCTACACTGATACATCCCCGTAATCTGTAAAAGCATAGCCATGCTCCCCACATATGATGGAAACTCTCTGAAACTCTTCATGTTCCCATTTACAAGAGGGAGTTTCAGGGTTACAGGAAGCATTGGTACACAAACTACGAGCAGCTGATCTGCTTTCTGCAGTATTCTCCCAGCATGAGCTCTGCCTCACTGAAATCCTATGGCAATGACTCCCACATCAGAGAGATCTTTTCCTGTGTAGGATTTCTTAACTGAATCTCATCAGCAACTGCATTATTTTTATTAATGCAAAAAATCAGACAGCTTTCTCTAGTTCTCATTTACTTCGTGCAGTTGGAGCATACAGGCTTACGACGACCTTCCTTTTGCAAATCAGTTACTTTTCATCTTTTATGTCTTGCCATGTTCAGAAAAAACAAGGTAGACATAAATCCTTTTACAGCTACAGTACTGCTTTGCTTGTTACTCAGAACTGGAATTCACGGACTTGACCTTTTCCTCCCTCCGTCACTGAAAATCAGAAGTAATTACAACTAAGCTGACTTGAGATTGATATATAAATAGTAAGCAAATAAATGACTGCGCTACATGATATGTATTGCTACCTCTTGGCCACATCCTTTGGAGTCTCTCCAGCATCATCTGTAATGTAACAGTCAGCTCCCCTTTCAAGTAACCACTGTAAGCAATGGACGTGCCCCTGTTCAGCAGCTGGGGAAAGGAAGGTGCACACAAGTCAGTTGTATTCAGCTGAAGTGTTTCAAACCTCATACATCCCCCTCTTGACACAGTTCAATGTGCCAGAGGGTGGGTTGATTAAGACCCCACAGGTGAGATGCTGTTTCAGAGAAGCCTGCGTTTCTAGATGATCAAGTCATATGGGCATGCCCATTTTTAGGGAAGATTCTGCAATGTGTTTTTGTGCCTGCCCCTAGTCCTGGAAATTTACTTGCAACTCTTGCTGGAGAGGAGCTAAACTAAACTTGCTCAGTCTCAGGCATTGAGCACAAGACACGCAAATACCTGCTGCCTCGCATGCTCTTGCTTTGAGGTCTGCATCTCACCCATTTGCAGCAAAGTGCTGTCATCTTTTCCTGGCTCTGGGCTCCCACACCTCACACAGGGTCGATTGGACCAATCCATGGCATACAGTGCTGGCTCACACAGAACAAGAGAAACAGGAGCTTTGTGCTGGAGCTACAGGCACACTTTTTGGGCCACATCCTTAAGGCATTTTGCTTTAATTAAAGACCCTTTGCAAAAGCTTCAGAATCTACTGTTTTTCTTTCTCCACAAATCAGCTGTGCTCAGCGCATGACCATCTCCACCGCGAGATGGCGACGTCTTCCCACACATTGAGGCAGCCCCAGGGTTTTGAGCATAGAATCATAGAATATCCTGAGTTGGAAGGGACCCTTAAGGATCATCAAGTCCAACTCTTGACACCGCACAGGTCTACCCAAAAGTTCAGACCATGTGACTAAGTGCACAGTCCAATCTCTTCTTAAATTCAGACAGGCTCGGTGCAGTGACCACTTCCCTGGGGAGCCTGTTCCAGTGTGCAACCACCCTCGCTGTGAAGAACCCCCTCCTGATGTCAAGCCTAAACTTCCCCTGCCTCAGCTTAACCCCGTTCCCGCGAGTCCTGTCACTGGTGTTAATGGAGAAAAGGTCTCCTGCCTCTCAACACCCCCTTACGAGGAAGTTGTAGACTGCGATGAGGTCTCCCCTCAGCCTCCTCTTCTCCAGGCTGAACAGGCCCAGTGCCCTCAGCTGTTCCTCGTACGTCTTCCCCTCCAGGCCTTTCACCATCTTCGTAGCTCTCCTCTGGACACTCTCCAACAGTTTCATGTCCTTTTTATACTGTGGTGCCCAGAACTGCACACAGTACTCGAGGCGAGGCCACACCAGCGCAGAGTAGAGCGGGACAATCACCTCCCTCGACCTACTAGCGATGCCGTGCTTGATGCACCCCAGGACACGGTTGGCCTTCCTGGCTGCCAGGGCACACTGCTGGCTCATATTCAACTTGCTGTCTACCACGACCCCCAGATCCCTCTCTTCTAGGCTGCTCTCCAGCGTCTCATCGCCCAGTCTGTACGTGCAGCCAGGGTTTCCCCGTCCCAGGTGCAGGACCCGGCACTTGCTCTTATTGAACTTCATGCGGTTGGCGATCGCCCAGCTCTCCAACCTAGCCAGATCCCTCTGCAAGGCCTTTCCACCCTCAACAGAGTCCACAACTCCTCCAAGTTTGGTGTCATCAGCAAACTTGCTCAAAACCTTCTATTCCTTCATCCAGATCGTTTATAAAATATTGAAAGTACCGCCTAAAATGGAGCCCTGAGGACCCCACTGGTGACCGCCCGCCAGCCTGACGCAGCCCCATTTACCATAACCCTTTGGGCCCTGCCCGTTAGCCAATTGCTCACCCATCGTATGATGTTTTTATTTAGCTGTATGGTGGACATTTTGTCCAGTAGGATCCTATGGGAAACCGTGTCAAAAGCCTTGCTGAAGTCCAAAAAAATCACATCAGCTGGTTTCCCTTGGTCCACCATACATGATCTTATCATAAAAGGAAATCAGGTTAGTTAGGCAGACTACCCTTCACAAACCCATGCTGGCTGGGACCAATGACTGCTTTGTCCCCCAGGTCGCCTCAATAAGTTCGAGAACCATCTTCTCCATGATTTTACCAGGCACTGACGTGAGACTGACAGGCCTGTAATTGCTAGGGTCTTCTTTCTGACCCTTCTTGAAAATCGCACAACATTTGCCAGCTTCCAGTCTACCGGGACCTCTCCAGATTCCCAGGATCGTTGAAAAATAATTGAGAGGTTCCGCGATGACGTCCACCAGCTCTTTCAGCACCCGGGGATGAATCCCATCCGGACCCATGGACTTGTAGGGATCCAGGTGGAGTAGCAAATCCCGCACACGTTCAGGGTCGGTTGGGAGTTTGTCATCCCACCGTCCCGTCCTCCAGCTCAGGGCACCCTGGGTCCCGAAGCCCATCATCGGCATTGAAGACAGAGGCAAAGAAGGCATTAAGCGTCTCTGCTTTGCCTATGTCATTGTCTGTGAGAACCTTCCCTATCAAGGAGCGCCCTATGTATTCTTTAGTTCTCCTTTTTCCATTCACATATCTAAAAAAACCCTTTTATTTTCTCTCACAGACACAGCCAGCTTCAACTCTAGGTGTGCTTTAGCCACACCAATTTTCTCCCTACAAACACGAACAGCATCCCTGTATTCTTTCCAGGACACCTGGCCCTCCTTCCAGTAGCGAAACACTCTCTGTTTCTGCCTAATCTCCATCAGAATGTTCCTGGTCAGCCACGCCGGCCTCCTGCCCCGCCTGCCTGACTTGCGATATTTAGGAATTGCCTGATCTTGTTCTAGGAGGCATCGCTTAAAGAATGACCAGCACTGGTGGACATCGAGGCCTTCAAGAGCAGTTTCCCAGGGGACCTTGCTGACTAGTTCCCTGAGCAGCCTGAAGTCCGCTTCCCCATATCTAGGGATGAGGTTTTGGTGGCACTTTTCCTTCTGTCACCGTAAATTTTGAACTCAACCACTTCATGGTCGCTATGACCGAGGCGGCCACCAATCACCACATCTCCCACCAGACCCTCTCTGTTTTCTAGCAACAGGTCTAGGAGGGCACCTTTCCTAGTTGGCTCCGTCAGCGGCGACAGGCAGGGGGTCCACCCCCATTTGGGGTGTCTCACCCCGGTACCTCTCCTTGAGGCCCTGCAGGGAGTTACTCCCAGTCTATCTCCCGCTCACACTCCCTGATGGCCCTCAACCTCTCCACCTCCTCCTTGAGCTCCGCCACCATGCGGATCAGGTCATCCACCTGCTGGCACCTGACGCACGCAGCGTCCTGCCTCCCGCCGATGGCAGCAGCAGGCTCTGACACTTGCATCCGGTGACCTGAACCGCTGCATTCTTTAACGGGCAGTCGGTCTGGGTGTGTACCGACCTCCTGCAGAGCGTCCGTGCCTGTGGAGACCATTATCACCTAGCTAACGGCTGTCGTTAAGAGGTGTTCGTGTGGGCAGGGGTTGCTCTCCGCCCTGCCCTCCCCTCTGACGGCCACGCCCTGTTTGCCCGCCCTGGTCGCCGCGCTCCCTAGGGGCTGCTTTGAACGGCCGGGGAGGGGTCGCTGCTGGCTCCGCCTTCGCCTCGTCAGCCTCCCTCACGAGGGCTGCCGGCTCCTGGCGGCTCCCTGAAGTCGGCTCGATGCCGGAAAATGAGCCCTGCCTGGCCCGATCCCCCGCTCCGCTGCAGAACGCGTCTGCCCCGGAGCCGATCGCCTCGGCAAATGGCCAAGAACTCATAAGAACTTCTTAGCCACACGTGCAGTTGTTTGGACTGAGAAGCCCAAGATATGCCCCAGTGATACCTCCAAGTCGAAGGAAAACAGCCATTCAGTTCGCCATCTGGGCATGTCCCTAATTAAACTTCTATGTGGGGATGATTCAGACACTCAAAAATAGTAACCACAAAGTCCACACACTCTTTGAACGACAGAGCAAATGTTTAATGAACCGAGAGTGTTACATGTCTGTTAACAGCACAGCTTCTCTTTTTTTTTTTAACCAACCTGTTCCTTAGTCAAGGCTTTGATCATCTCAGCTGTGATGTGCCTGTTGGATTTAGCCGTAGAGCCACCTTCCGTGGGGCTCCTGCCTGGCATTTCTTCTGGCTCCTTGTGAATAGGCATGGCTCTTCCAATCACACCCATTAGCTTTGACTCCAGAGGACCCAGTTTTAAGTATTCCTTAAGAAGAAAAAATATCTTTCTGCAGTTGCAGAGAAAAGAGGCAGCTCTTCGACAACAAACTAAACAAAACAACAGCATCTTTCCTCTTAAAAGCAACTCCACGAGTGTTGTCCTGGGGTTGCCGTGTTCAGTAATTTCAGTGTCAGTGGGTTAATCTACAGGCCAGCTGATCCTAGGAGGATGCAGCCCTGCTGCTCTCTTTTTCTGCGTGTTTTCACCAATAATGTTTTCTCTGCAGCCCAAATTCTGCTCCCAAGTTTAGTTCCGTGAGAAGGATTAAACGAATCCAACAGTTCAGTACTGCCAAAAGAGAGATCCAAGTCCAGCTTGGTGC